CAACAGAAGTTGGCCAAAGTGCTTCACAGTTAAGTCAAATGAATAAAACAATTGAGCAACACATAAATATATACAGTAAAATCAATTTAAAATACAGAAAAACATTAAAAACATTATCATTAAAAGTATCTCAAACTCTACCAGAATGAAAGGCCAGGGAGTAAAAGTGAGTTTTAAGCAGAGATTTAAAAGTCTCGACAGTCTCAGCAGTCCGTATGCTAAGAGGTAAATTATTCCAGAGTTTTGGTGCAGAGACTGCAAAGACCCGATCACCTCTAGACTTTAGCCTGGGTCTAGGAACATCTAAGAGGAACTGGTTGGATGACTGAAGTGCTCTAACTGAAGTGGGGATGTTAATGAGACCACACAGGTGGGGTGGGGCCAGACCCTTTAAAGCTTTGAAAGTAAGCAATAAAATCTTAAAATTTATCCTAAAATGAACAGGAAGCCAATGGAGAGGAGCCAGAACCGGGGATATGTGTTTGTGTTTTTTAGTTCCTGTTAAAAGACGAGCTGCTGCGTTTTGGACAACTTGTAATCGATGCAGAGAAGATTTATCTAAACCAACATACAAAAATTACAATAATCCAAACGAGATGTAATGAGAGCATGAATCACTTTCTCAAGGTCTTTGTTTGGGAGGTATGTCTTCACCTTAGCAATAAGTCTAAGTTGGAAAAAACTCGATTTAACCACTGAGTTTATCTGCCTGTCCAATTTGAACACATTATCAAAATTGAAACCCAAATTTCTGACAGCAGAGCAGCTGTATGAAGCCAAAGGACCACGACTGTCAGGAGAAATGTCTTTACCAAAGCTGATGACTTCTTTCTTACTTTCATCTAGATTCAGGAAATTTAATTTCAGCCAGATTTTTATGTCATTCAGACAGCTCAGGAGTGATTTGAATGAATTAATCAAACCTGGCTTGATAGGCAGGTAGACCTGAATGTCATCAGCAAAACAATGGAAAGGAATCTTAAATTTATTAAAAATGGACCCCAGAGGCAACATTTAAAGATTAAAAAGCAGAGGGCCTAGAATAGAGCCTTGGGGGACCCCACACGTCAGAGGAGCTGTAGAGGAGGAGCAATCTCCTAAACGAACAGAAAAACTCCTATTTGTTAAGTCTCTAAACCAGGATAAAACTGTGCCTTTGATTCCAACCAGCTGCTCTAATCGTGACAGTAAGATGTTATGATCAACGGTATCAAAGATCTAAAAGCACTAAAACTGCAGAGCTTCCTGAATCAGCTTTTAAAAGAAGATCATTAAAAACCCTTAAGGGTTGTTTCAGTGCTGTGGCAGGATTTAAAACCTGACTGGAACAGTTCACCAARATTATTGTCTTGTAAAAAAACCTTGGAGTTGGATAAAAACAACTTTCTCTAAAACCTTTGATAAAAAAGGAAGTTTTGAAATCGGTCTGTAATTGGTGAGAACTCCTGGATCTGGGTTTTTCTTTTTTATAAAGGGTTGGACCACAGCATGCTTAAAAGAAGCTGGGATGCTGCCTGATGAGAGTGACATGTTAATCAGAGTGACAACAGTTGGACCAGCAGTATAAAAAACATCCTTAAAAAGATTAGCGGGAACAATATCCAACGGTGAGTTAGTGGGCCTCATTCGCTGCACAATGTCCTTTAAATCAGAAAAAGACACCAGCTCAAAGTGGTCAAAAACAGCTGAGGAGACAAGTGGTGAAGAAGGATCAATGTCACCCTGATCTGAAGAGGGCCTGAGAGCAGAAACTTTCTCAAGTTCTCACACAGTGCAGGAGAATTAACAACATGAGCAGCATCACAGGGATTTACAACAGAGTTTAGAACATCAAAAATAACCCTCGGTCTGTGACTGTTATTTAAAATCACGTTTGGAAAAAAAATGCAGACGTTGCAGCTTTAACAGCAGTCTGATATTTCAGCAGACAGGCTTTAAGAATGTCCAGAGAAACTTGTAATTTGTCCTTTTTCCATTTTCTCTCAGCGCGTCTGCTCTGAGCGAGCGGGTGGTCTCATTCAGCCACTGCTGAGATGCAGACTTTGTCTTTTTAACCCTCAGCGGGGCAACAGAGTTTAAAATATCCCCACACCTTGAGTTAAAAACACCAGCCAGCTCCTCCACACCAGACGCAGAGCAGAGCTGCGGGTTACAGGTGTCAGAGTCTTTAAAACTGGTAGAAATATGCAGCGCAGGACTCGAATTAATGGGTGTGTGTATACTGGAAACGGTCCTAAATAGATAACAAAAACACGTACGTACACACACACACACACACACACACACACACACACCTTCAGCTGAATGAGTCATTTGAGTTTCAGAGCTTGTTTTACTTCCGTTTTTCATTGCAAAGAGGTTTATCTTTGATATGTTGACTCAAATTCCACTGAAAATCAGAGTGAAGTTAAATATTAATGGACTGCTTTTACAGTTTTCCACTG